AAAGAGGATAGAAATAAGATATATATAGAGAGAGAGATGGATATAGATATATAACTCTTCTTTCATCTATATATATATGCACTTATATATAAATACATATATTTAATTGTAATCATGCAGAAATATGGGAAAATAAGTGAGAGAGAAGATAGAATGTGCCCCAGGCCAGAGCTGCAGCATCTGTATGTTGGAGTCTGTTAAAATAGGTTCAGTGGTGAGGAAATAGGCTAATAAGAGTGAATACTCGTTGCTCTAAGAGAGCACTATCTTTCGCTGCTTCCACTCGTCAGTTCATAGAAATAGTAGAGAATATTTCTGTGCCTTGTTAAGACTGGATAGCCATAATACAGAAAAATTATATACCCGTGAAAAGGATGGTTAGCATCCAAGATGGATAATGTTGGTGTAGAGCAATGTACTTTTAGATATGCAGGTGGACAAGAATGGGGATGATGAGAACTAAGATTTTGGATTGGTTTTCCATTGGAGGGATGGGAAAGGATGATTAAACAGTTGAATTAAAAAGTAATATTTGATTAAGAAAATAAATGAAGTTTCATGGAAGGGGATTTGTTTGTGAAATGCCAGCAGAAGTAAGTGACCGTTGATTGAAAGCATGGACATCTACAGTGCCTGTAGTGTACTCTAGACAGTGCTCGCTGTCTGCGTGATGTAGTGATGGAACAGGTGGTGATGGGGAAGTGCCTGTGATTTATAGTTTCTAAATCCATCTGAAAGAAGAGAATGAAAAAAATCAGGGAATCTTGCTTCTGCTGTAACTAATCAAAAGCCATAAATGATGCAGTTTCCATGTGATGTATATGTACTCCATACTGTTTCACAAGTCAGCTTTGTTGATTACCATTCTGTTATCACCTGTGTTCTTGGACATTCAGCTCCATATATCAGTCTTTGTAAACCATGTGTGATGATTGACTGCCTGAAGTCTGAAAATTCAGCAAGTGATGCAGAGACAAAACCTGTGTGTTCTTATACACGTGCACACACCCTTCTTTTGGCTTACCTTATTTGAGAATTTTTTTATTGTTTTGGGAAGGAAGTATATACAGTTACTTAGCTATGGTAAGATGCATCTCATCCAGGAATACAGACTCTCCCTAAGGGCTATATGGAGCTGAAGCTTGTGGGAAATAGAAATTGATGTTTTGGATAACTCTGCATAAGAAATGGTGGATAAATCTGGGGGAGGCGGAGGGGGGGGAAGTAGTAGTAAAAAAAGAATTAAAATCTGCTGCTTTGATACATAATCAAGCTATCCCAGCATGACTTAGACTTTAAGTTTCATTCTAAGATATCTAATTTTCTTGAGTCTCACTTACATGATAGACATTCTGTGTTTAAGGACAAAAGAAGTAATGACATTTAATGTCTCCAATTTACGGTTGCGTCATTACATAAACATAATTTCCTATTCTAATTCAACAATGTAGATCTTTTGTCAAGTGTGTGGAACACAGCTAATTGACTCTGGCAGGAATTACGCTATCATTAGGTAATTATTGGAAAGGCTCTGTCTTTAAATGCGAATGCCTGAAATCTCTTTCATGTCTTAGGATTTTTTCAGTAGAACCATGTCAATCTGAACAGCTGCATAATTTGTTTATTCTCTAATCCTGATTTTTGTACATATCAGCATTGTTCTGCAAATCATTTCCTTCAAAACAGAGCATCTTTGTTTCATATTGTAATGACAGGCTGGTCTAAGTTTATAGGTGGGGGACTAAGTGATGAAGTTGGCCAATGTGCTTTTTCTGGTTCTTTGAGGAAGCATTATTCCCTAGAAAATCAGACCTAGCAATCTGAGTGTACACATCAAGTGGTCCTGATGAAAAGAAAATAATAATGAAGATTTGCAAAATATGCCTTCATAAAGTGTAAAGTTTAAAATTCTGCAATTACTTTGCAAGAAAGATGGCTGCCAAAATGCATTAGCATGGTGTGCTTTGGTGTCACCCTTATTTAAAGCAGTTCTGTGGAATTCCTCCTGCTGGAGGTGACTGCATAATGAAAAGCAACCTGCAGGAAATTAATAAACTGCAGTGTGCTAGAATGCACAAAAGTATTTAAAATTTACTACTTTTTAAAAGATATAGGCTGTTTTTATCCATGATAATCAAGGTATATTAGTCTGTAATGGCACAGAGCAAGAAGCAAGTAAGAGGTATTATAAGAGATGGCAAAAAGGTCTGTGTTTGCATTTTAAAATAGAAATAACTTTTTCACAAATGCATTAGAGAAACTAGGGACCATTAAGAAATGATGAAGAAGATAAAATTATTAATCACAAAGATACTAAGTGCCTTTCTTCAAATCCTATTTCTATTTAGCAGAAATAAAGTCTGTGTGTGCTGCTGCATGATAAGAGTGTAATGGATGTAAGTAAAAAGAGAACTCCAATGGAACAAATGAAACGCTGCTTGGAAACTCTGCCTACAAATAAATCAACAAATCCAAACAGTTGTCACCAAAGTGTATCAAGGGAACTATCAAACTAATTTGCAGTAACAGTGACACTAACTAGAACCAGAGAAGTGTCTGAAGACTGGAGAAGAGCATGAGCAGCTTTTAGGGGAGAACTCGAGTGCATCTTCTGTTTGGTGGAATATATAATGGAATAAATAATTTATGGAAATCAATAAATGTCTGGAAGGTAATGGAACCGTAAGCAAAAGCACTTACAGGCTTCTAGCAAATTAATCTTGCCAAACTTCCTTTGTTTTGCTTTCCTGAATAGTAGTGTACCATTAAGAAGAAAGCAGCAGCATCCTAAGCTCTAAATAGTTCAGAGTGTAACAAGTCCAGAGAGCAAAGTTGGATCACTGAATACATATCACCCTTCCTTGAATTTTCACCTTCACTTAAATAGACAGATTTGACTCCTTAACTTTCCATTTGGGTCATTCTGCAATTTGGAGACAAACTAGAATACGCTCCATTTGCATCCTGCTTGAGGAAAGAGTCTGTATTGGGAGCAGCTGGTCTTTCACATAGCTGTATCAGTCTGTTGGAAAGCTGGTAATTTTCATGAGAGTTCATAATTACTTAGTGCCTTTTTATATGGTGGATGCTCTACTTATGGGAGGTCTGTGGGAAGATGAAACCTGAGAGCCTAATGTATTAGTTTCTAGATAGATAACTGTAAGAGTGCAAAACCTTCAGAATTACTTCTCAGCTGGTTTTAGTGTTTGACTCTATGTGGGAAAAGATATGCAGGCTGGAGCAATTTGCTATAGCTGCTAATAAGAAGCAAAACTTTCTGGTTTACCTCTGCAAAGGTGTGAGAGAAGGTTTTTATTCCCTTGATTTGCTTCTTCAAAAGTGTGTGCTGGAAATGAGTATCCAAGTCTGAGCTGCATCCCACATTCAGTCAAAAAGTATCTTATTTAAGAAGAATGCTAAATTTCTGTGCAAGTTCCCGTTGTTGGAAAGCAACAGTTTTAACAAGTTCATTGGATATAATAGATTTCAGCAAAGGGAAGTGGATTGTCAAAAGGGAGCCCAGAGATGGATCATGTGTTGATTTTTTTTTTTATTTTTTTTTTTTTTAAACAGAAAGCCATCCAGGATTTTCTAGGAGGGGGGAGAAAAAGAAAGAACTGAGATTCATACCAATTCTCTGTTTAATAAAAATTGACAGTGCAATATTCCATATAATGGCAGCAGATTTCTACAACAGAAGTAAATCAGCCTCATAACTGTACCTGGCTAGCTGCATTATCTGCAGCTTTGTATTGGTGATCTTAAACTCCCATAGTTCTTCATTTAGAGTAGAATTTTGGGAACCTGAAACTCCTTCAGCTTTGAAGTATTCAGTATATTCAGTAAATGAGTACTTTTCATTTTAAACACTGCATGTGGCATACTTATTTTTCAGGATTTGCTATCTTGCTTTTGTCTGTGTTGCCAATCATTTTGGTTTTTGTATTCCTGCATGTTGCTGTTTTTTTGATTCTGTAATATCTGTGTAAGTATTTAGCAAGTGATAACAGCTATAAGTCACAGCTGAGTATGCCTGCCTATATGAGCTTGCATAGTTTCCTTGCTGAGGAGAAGAATAATGGACTGCAAAACACATTTTGTTGCTATTAGCTTTTTCAAGTGGATTGAGCTATTCATTGGAAAAAGAGTGTGCTACAGCAATTAAGTTCATCCCTATGCTCGGTCAGCTTGCCATTTCCAAAAATGAGATGGACATCTATTTTGCAAAGAGGCTGATGTTTTATTGATGGTAGAAATTATTAACTAAAACTGAAGCTGGAAACATGCAAGGAATGGAGGTTTGGAGCATAGTATAAGACTGTAAAGGAATTCTTTAACATAGGTATTAAGTCCCTTATGACTGTGTCATCCACCAAACTGATTAAAGCACTGTTTATTGCAAATGGGAAGGCAGAAAACCTTTGGCTTTCACACTCTGCTGCTTATTTTATGTGTAGATAGAACCTCACTGCTGAGACAATGGTGGTCAGTGAAAGTTACTCATTTCAAAACAGCTTTATAAACACAGTGCATCAAACACTGCTTTTCAGCATTTAACCTTTGCTAGATACTTTGTCTCTTAAACAAGCATCTGTATACATGTGATCTCAAATAGGGAGCTTTAAGTCCAAGTGAATATTTTGTTACTCTTGGAGGAGAAGAGGTAATGCATACGATTCAGGCTGTGTTGAACTAGGAGAGCCAGTACGGCAGAGTGTCTTTTGAAGATGAAAAGGAAAATATTTATCAGAGGACCTTATTTTATCCTTTAGGTTACTGAAGGCATTTTTCAGCTTAAGCATATCTTTCTGCTAGTTTTTCCCAAAATACTGACATGAAAATGCGGTGGAGTGTCTCCAGTCTGGGTGCTTTGGGAGAGCAGTCTCTTTCAAGTTGAGGAAATTCATGCTACAAAAATGCGGTTGTCAATGCCATAGGTATTCTTTGGGTATAGTTCTGTTGTTCATTACATTTTAATGTATACACTGAATGTTTTTCAGGAACTCCAGGAAAGAACTTAATGACATACGGTTTGAATTTACTCCAGGCAGAGGTAAGGCTCCTTCAATTGAATTATTACCTTTTTGAGCAATAAGAGATTTCAGAAATTGATTACTGCTTATGGTTAATACAAACTACCTCTCTGGAATGTTTCCTACTGTGCAGAGCTTTATATTGAACTTCACTTGAACAAGAATAGCAGATATGTGTAAATTCTAGTGGCAAGGTTGCATAATATATAGTATATACTAGAAGACTTGATCCACAGTATACTTTATCAATTTCATGTCTTATTGAAATGATCTATGTGGTATATAAGATCTTGCATAGTAATATTCACAGCTTTAGAATTTCCTTTTTCACATTTGGAAAACATTGTAGGAAATGGAATATAGTAGCCATAAAAGCATATGTGGTGATGGTGGTAATATTTGAGTTTCTTTCCCCTTTGTAATAAAAGAAGTTCTGTTAACAAGTATGAAGGACACACCATTTTTCTAGTGCTGTCTTCAGCTGAAAGTTGAGTTCCATCTCTAGATTTGGTATTATCACCAGAAAAGAAATTCTGGCATTGAAACTCTAAACTCTACTGCATGCTTGTAGAACTGTATTGGCTTTCCAGTGCTAAGAGTTGTAAGAACTTTTAAAGTTTACTTTCGTTTGAAGAAAACCAAGTATTACTGGGATAAAATACACAGGAGGCTCATATGTTGACTAAGAAGGTATTATCCTTGTTAAATAGCAACCCTTTGAACTGTGAACGCATTTCATATTTCTTAGAAGTCAGTATTTACTGTATTTAGAATAGCCTTCAAAGAGCTTCTGCTAAAAATGAATCCAGATTGGAAGAGGTGTCTCTCTTCCTATAAATCATACTATCTTTCATGTGCAGTAGTTCTGTGCATGGATATAGTCTCTGTTGTGTACCTCCATTTCTCATTGATTTTGGCAGTGGGTAATAATGAAAGAGATCTCTTACTTAACTGGGCACAGAGCATCCTGGTTTACTCACTTGTTGAAAGAATTACTCTAAGCAGTTACATAAGCCCTTTCAGAATTCTTACTTGGTCAAAAAATAGAGGATACGACATACCAGGACTGTTCCTCATAGTCAATCACTGAGGCAGCCAGAAGGCAGCTATGATTCTCATCTCCAGAGCTCTCCAGAAATTGCAGCTAGCTCAGCTATATTGTTTTTCACCTGTGCGTGTTTCTTGAGGAAATGATGCAATTTTGTGTAACTGTCTCAAAGCATGTGCTCCATGCAGATATTTGGTGTTGAGGCGATAGTACAGTTGAGACTTAGCTGGAATTTGGGCTTGTTCCTGCTGTTTCTTCCTACTTACCTCTAAGCCTTCTAAAGTCTTTATCCAGGAGCAAGTACTAGTTACATGAACTTAAGAATTAACACACTCGGGTACACCAATTGATGGAAGATCGATCCAAAGCTCTTAATTTCCTGGGTCACAGTACTTAAAAGCTATTTTAAGCCTAAAGCTCAAAATAATGACTGTTCATGTAACTCCTTTGCCCCACTGGTAACAAACAAGAAAGCCTATATAGCATATCGCTGTCTAGATATGCAGAACAATGGAGAGGATAAAGAAAACAGTGAAAACCACACCAAAACATAGTTTATTTTCTTGGTTGTGAAGATACTGAACTTGTAAACTGTAGGAGTATGTAGCTAGATAATAGAGGAGAAATGCTAGTGGCCAGGAAAGGTCTGTAGGGGGTTTGCAATGAATCAAATCATCAGCTCATGTGATTTGCTGTGCAGAGGCCGATAAGATAATTATCTTTTTTCCTCCTAATTAAAGATAATTTTGAATTCAAGCCTGCCTCCATGGGTGTTCTGGAACTAAAATATATTTTTGTTAAATTGCATTGGATGACTGATACTTCTTGTTGTTTTTGTGGGCTCTCATACTTATTCATTTCACCTTTTGGACAGACACAGCAGATGGCGTTTCTCAGGAGCTGTTCTCTGCAGGCCTGGTTGATGGCCATGATGTAGTTATAGGTAAATTACATTTTTGTTTGCAATTACGCTCTTGTGACAAGTTTGTGTTAAATGGATGTGAAAAATGTTTTCTCTAATGCTGGTTTTCACAAAATCCTTTTTGTTCTAATTTTGCTTTCATATATGCATAGTTCAATCAACAAGCCAATTTTGATACCAGTCCAAGGATTGCTTTTGGAAGTCAGAACTCTTTAGTGGTTTGAGAGGGATGATATAATATAGATCTCCTGAAGGATTATTTACAGTTCAAAGATTGATCATTTTTATGCTAACTTAATTTTTTTTGTTTAACAATAAAATTATTTTTTTGGTAGGATTTTGCAAAGTGTGCTTTGGCAGCTCTGAAGTTAGTAAGTATTCTGCTCGGGTTCATGGAAGCAGAAGCAAGCCAGAGTTCAGGATCTATGAAAAGTGCACCTAGAGATATTATTTCTATGGAAAAAAAAAAAAAATCAGAAATGTTTTCTGGCTGCTGAGAGGAAAGATGCTTCTCTATTTTTCTATTCTGTGCTTCAGTAATTTTTTTTTTTTAAATGAAATTCAGTGATTGGCAAAAATAATTAATTTGGAAGTGCTTATTTCCCTGCAGTTCCTTCTCTTCTTCTGGTTGCTCAAGACCAGTAGATACATAGTTACCAAAATCAGAGGGGCACTAGTAGATGGCTAAATGTGTGAGAACTGACACCAGGAATACTAGCAAATCAATCTTTGTATTGCAGTCAAAGAAGTTCATATCAATTGGTTCAGATATCATTACCAAACTCCTCAATGATATGGACAGTGTTTTACAAATCCAAAAGTTCATGTGACTGGCCTGGAAGATTATCTAAGTACATTCTCAGTGCATTTGTAGGCTAGCTAAAGTGTTTCAGAGAGAACCCAGTACTTTCGCTTTCGTATGTTGAGAAGACAGGTTAATTCTAGCTGATCTAAGAAACAAAAGGCCTACCTATGCTTTTATTTTAATTTCTGAAGAAAAAGTATTTAGGGGAGGTTCTCAGATGGTACATGCTACCAGGCACTCTTCTCTTACAGTCACTTCTGTGCTGTTACTATATGGGTTCAGGGGAGAGGGATAGCTTGGCCTTAGTTTGCTGCCTTTTAAACATCCAGTATGAAAAATGTCATTACCGTACTGATGATGATGTTTTTGTTAGAATTTTCATTGTCAGAAGATACCTTACTTCATTTAGAAATAATAAATAGATAGGTTTGTTCTGGCTAAGAGAAGAGTTGTTATCTGTTGGCTATCCCACCTGCCTGGACAGTCAGCTGGCAGTCTGTGTTGCACAGAAGTCAGAGTCACGGCTGACGATGCTGCAGTGCAAGTCCTGCTGGGACCCAGTGAGTCCCCTTTTCCCTTCTTCGCTCTTCCCTTTGCTGCAAAGTCCTCTTCCAATGCAAATTGCCAGTACTTCTGTGGGAATGGCACCGTGAATGGGATTTGTTATCATCTTTCAGGGAGAATGATGGGGGAAAGGCAAATGAAGATAGGTATCCCTCATGGCTTTAGTGATGTGACTTTGGTCCTTGAAGCAGCACAAATATTTAAATAAGTAAGGTTTTCCCTAGCAGGCTTGGTTAGAGACACTGTCTAGTTAATAATAAAAGTTTATTTCCTTGCTTTGTTCCTGCTTTGAATTGCATCAGACTTTTATTTTTAGCCCTATGATGATGGTCCTTTCTGTTCTTTCCTGTTTATCTTTTTATTGTAGTATTAAAAAAAAAAAGTAAGGAAATCATATTTCTTGTATATAATGAAAGCATTCAACTTAAATTTAATTTTATTCATTATAATGAATTTATATGTTCATTTTTCTGTGATGTTGTAACTTACCTCAAGTTCCACAGGCACAAATTCTTGCATGACTTTGTACTATAAGTTTCACTTGTGTCTGCTTCACCCATGAAGTTGTTCAAGTTCTCAGATATGTTTGGACATGGTTATCTTCCTAGAAAATGACTTTAGATTTCATGTTTTACTGAAAGACAAGTTCTGCGAAATGCGATTTTACTTTTTATTAAAAAAAATTAAAGTTGGACTTAAGTTAGAATATGTTTGTGATTTGCTTTGGGAAAACTGTCTAAATGTTCTACAGGCATGGAATAAAACAACTTGCATGCAAGCAGATTATTGCAAATTTCAGAATTTCACTGTAGCAGTGCAGTCCCTAAGAAATATTTCAGACCCTTAGTTTAAAGCAGTAGGTCATATAAGAGAGCACATGGTGCTGAAAATGTAATCTGCTTACAAAACTAATTTTCTGTGTAAAATGATTTTGCCACCTTGTTCACTTGAAATTAAAGGGTTTAAAATCTTCCTATATAGGAAGAGGGGAATAGTATAGAAGAGCTTGGTTAACCTTCTTCACCAGAAGAACTGAATCCATTAGCTTCCAGATTGAAAGCAGCTGATAAATTACCTTTCACTTTTCAGCTGAAGCATGCAGAAATTCAGCCTCTATAACCTGAATGAAAACAAAGTTCTGAGATTAGTCTCATAAAAGTTGTTCTGTAGTTTCTTTTAATGGATATTGGAACATGTAGAGGCTGGGAGAGAAAAGAAAGGTGAAAATACCTGTGCTTATCTTGAACTCAACAATTTGTTGGCGTAAGAGCTGATTTTCTGAAAGGACACTTGAATAGGAGTCAGTAAAAGCTGTTGTGGAAAGTATGGCCGTGGCATATGTGAGCTGAAGCTGTTAGTGGGGACCAGCTGACATGTAAGTTCTATAGAATTTGCTGCTAAGCATCAACACGCTTCACCTTTTGAGTGTTGCTGGATTTGCTTCACTTAACACAGGCTTCCCAGGAAGATTTCCATTCTGATAAGCAATAAGTTCAGCTACCTGTTCTGCAGAAAAGCGAAAATCCCATCTTGCATGTTCAGCTCTGGCTACGATTGACTGCTTTCTGTTCTTATTGAAAGTAACATTGTTTCATAGGAGTCCCTAGATCAAGGGAATCAGTGCAGAGAATTTTGTTTAAAAGCAGACTAGAGTTTGCATTTGCAGAGGGGGATGAATCTTGGAGCTTATATGTAGGTATCTAGCTGATGAGGTATTTTTATAGCAGTACTGAAATAGCTATGTTAAATCATATGAAAGATCTGGAGTATTTTTAAAATACATTTTGAGATGAAATATGTCTCTGTGTGTATATGCAATATATGTATATTAACTAGTAAACATTCACCTAGTAATGCTTTATTATATTTTTGGTACCATAAAGGAAACTCAAATCATATCAACAGTCAGTTCTGTTGAAAATCACATGGTTGCAATCCTACTTCAGTGGGTGTATACAATGTGCATATAATTACAGCAAAGCCTTGGGCTGTAGTTAATCTTCTAGAGGTCTTGCTTAAATTTCAGAACCTAAAGGTGTATTTACAGTTACTAAATTGCAGTATATATAAATAAATACTTCCCTTCCTGGATACTGCTTAAATAAAAGCCTTGATATCCATGCCATCAAGAAATGTGCAGGTGCCCTTCACTATATTAATGTATCTTTGTTTTAGGTGTTTTTGTCAAAAAGTATCTTTGAATACCTTGAGCATCATGGAAGATGTATCCTCACTTTTAAATACACCAGACATTAACTACTGGTAAATGGGTATCTGTCTTTGGTGTTGGAGCCAGACCCAGGTATCCACTTAGTAACCAGAGGAACAGCTTTTGGTCAGTCAAAACAAAAGCTTCCTGCTGAAATGCCTAATGGGTTTAGAAGAACCAGCTGGAAAGCCAATAGATCATATTTTGAAATGAGATCATATTTTGAAAGTAGCAAGCTTTTTCATCAACACTTTGAATATTTTCTTAGAAGTGTGAATGCAATAGATGCCATAATAGTTTGACTAAGGGTTTGGGGGTTGTTGGTTTGGGATTTTGGGGGGGGGAGCGGCAGGCGCATGGGCAGAATAGCGTTTTTATTTGGTGCCGTTACTGTGTTAAGTAGACAGGAATTAAATTGGCATCTAGAATAAAAACAAACAAACAAAAAAACATGGCTGTGGATGGGTTATTTGGCCATGAGTGCAGAGAACATGTATCTGACCAAATCCAGAATGACATTATTTCAGGGGATGTTAAACAGTAAGTAATATGTATGGTTCCCAATTAATCACAGTATTAAAGTATTTGAAATTGAAACAGCTGACTTACAATACCGAGTCTGCTGATGCTGAAGGTACTTTCATGCTAAAATGGAAAGATGAAAAAGCAGAAGCCCTGTTTGTTAGTATTACGGTCTATAACAACATCTTAACTCATAGTGTCACTGATAATCCAATTCATAGAAAAGCCTCAGAGTTACCCAGTGAATATCCTTTTGCTTTCCTCGGTTTTGCTCTGCATTTGCTTATATGTAGTTTTCTTTGCTGTCTTGTTAGATTAATCATATTTGAAACTGAATGAAGTGATGCCTTTTGTTCAACTAGTTCCAGCTTATCTTACTGTAATCAGAAAATGGAATAGTGCTGCACAAGTAGAAAGCATATTCCATTCATTTATGTCCTCAAAGAGCGGTAATGTTGCTATGGGTAGGTGACTTGGATAGCACTACCATTTGAAGGCAGCATAGGTTTGTCATTTGACATCAGTAATGTTTTGAGATGCACTGATTTTTGTAATCTTTGAGGGAATTTGTTAGGAGTTTTGTTTTTTTCTTGTGTCTGTTTATTCCTGTGGTTCAAACTGAGTGAAATAACTGAATTTTTAGTTAAGTGTATCATGTTTTTATAATTTCCAAAGCTCCCGGTACCCATAACTTTCTAGTGAAAAAATGCCTTTATAGACCCTAACAATTAATTTCAAGCGATAGACTAAATACTTTGTATTTCCTTTCTGGATAATACATTAAGAAGTAAACTTAGAGATTTAATGAAAACCTGACTGTATTTTAAGGCATTTTGTAGAAACTCTTGTGCCTTCAACGTGTGCACATAACTCTGTATCTCTTTAGCAAGATATGCAAATGCATTACAGCTAGGAGAATAT